GTTATTCTTATGCACTGTGATGAATTAATTCCAACTTTGTAAGAGCCACTAGGATAATTCCTTCCTGCGTCTAAAGGCTCTGAAGAACAAGCTCTCCCACTTGGGGAATGTTTGAAATTTGTAACTATGTTTAAACAGAATTTCCATTATGTAGAGGGAATTATGTGTATCATTTAAGCTGCTTTTAATGATCATTACTCGTTGTGTGTCCTTGTCTACTCGATGTGATTGGGGTGAGAGTTTACAAATTCTTGTGTTGAAAAAAAAAAAAAACCAAAACCAAACAAAATAGTGTTTGAATGTTCCTCTTTATGTAGAACTGGGAAATGCTCTGACATATATCCATTTCTGGTTTTCAGTCAAAGAAGACTGGAACGTCAGGATCACAAACCTAAGAAAGCAAGTAGAAGAGATATTTAATATGAAGTTTGGTAAGTAACATGTTAAATGAACTGTTTTATAATGCTGCTGTGTTTTAAAACTCGTCTGTAAAGAGTTTTAAATTTTACTGTATTATGTGCTAGGTCAGATGTGGCAGTGTTGACTCCTCTCACCTACTCTTTACTGACTCCTCCCTCTAACTGACATAAATGACTTTGTAACAGCATCTTAGGCCATAGTTTTTTCCAGTTGTGTGACAGAGATGATAATATGAGCACAAAAAGCTTTGTGATGAAAAAAGTTCTCAGAAGAAAATATTGGGCACTGCAGACTTCAATGTTATCTGTGGCAAGACGGACGAAGTCGCCATTTGCAATTATTCTGCAGAAAATAATAGAAAACCTATTTGAATATTTCTCTTGGGTTTTTTGGTTATCTCTCTAAGCCAAGCTTCTTAAAATCACTTGAGATAAAATGCCACCCATTCGAGTGTGTAAGCTATCATTAAATCTTTCTTTGCAGCCCAAGCTCTGGGGCTTTCGGAGGCAGTGAAGGTTCCCTATCCCGTGTTTGAGTCAAACCCCGAGCACCTGTACGTCGAAGGCTTGCCAGAAGGAATCCCCTTCCGGAGTCCCACGTGGTTTGGAATTCCACGCCTTGAAAGAATTGTCCGTGGGAGTGGCAAAATCAAATTTGTGGTTAAAAAGTATGTATGTAACTCAGTTATTTTTACTCCTGATTTTGAAGTCATGTGGTTTTCTTCCCAGCAACTTTAGACTTTAAATGTTACCTAAATTCTGTTTCCATGAAACAGAAAGAACATTTTGCATGTGTGTATGATCGCATAAAATATTATACCTTCCTTATTAAATTTATATAGATGTATAAATCACATGTTTCATGCATGAGGGATCTAGGGGAAAAAGTGGCCTTGTACCTGGGAACTGTTTTCCTTTTTTTTTTTCTCTTCTTTCTCTGTATTTTTTTTTGCTTGAAATAAACCCAGAAGAAAATTACAGAGTAGAAATGTAGCTTTTTCTGACTTTTTGTGGTTATAGTAGATGAAGAGTCACGCGTGCTTCTAGCAGAATTTTATTATAGAGGACTGATGTTATGTGAATTGGAACTCAACTGAATTCCAAGAAATTTGTCGTGTCTTGCTGTGTTATTTTTCTTGCAAGTGTAATTGATTGGGTTGTGTTCTGTTCAACTTTCAGGCCTGAGCTTATCACTTCCTATTTGCCTCCAGAACTGGCTAGTAAAATAAACACTAAAGGTAAGCAATTAAGTACTATTTGGCTGCCATCAGTTCACAAACACTTTCTGCTTCCTTAGCAGACAGAGATCTCTGTGGTTGAAAAATACCAGCGTTGCAAACAAAAGGCATTTCAGATGATCTAGCATAGTAGCCTCCAAATCTGCTATTATTTGACAAGGTTACTCAAAACATAAATTTATGTACTTTTTTTACTTAAGACTATACCAATACAGAAAATGGAATTTACCTAATATTGGCCATTTTTATTTTGCTATTAATGGCCTAAACTGTATTTAACTTACAGCTGTGAACTGAAGTTAATAACAATAAAGTTTTGTAAGAAAAGAATAAAAAAGTCTTTTAAGCTGTCTGTAAAAAAAATCAGAAGTTAATAATTTTGTTATTTAGATAATAAAATGTACCAAATATGTCTCTCACGCTTAGGAATAACAGTCTCTGTTCTGAATTAGTGGAGTGAAAACTTAGGTGTGATACCTCCCTTTTTCAGGAGTCCTAAAACTACTTTTTAAGGCCATGAGTATTACTGTATTGTTCAGATTTTACAATGCAGGCTGTACTCAGAATCATAGAATCACAGAATGGTTTGGGTTGGAAGGGACCTCAAAGATGATCTAGTTCCAACCCCCCTGCCATGGGCAGGGACACCCTCCACTACACCAGGTTGCCCAAAGCCTCATCCAACCTGGCCTTGAACACTTCCAGGGATGGGGCATCTACAACTTCTCTGGGCAACCTGTTCCAGTGCCTCACCACCCTCAGAGTGAAAAACACAGGCACAAGTGATTAGTGTAGACACAAGTCTGCAGTACAGACACAAGCGATTCCTCAGTCTGTTGGAATTTTTAGGATACAGCTGATGTCTTTTCATTAGCCACGCAGGATATACATTGTAGAGGGTTTGTGCATTACACCTTGTATTGTGTTGACTTCCAGCAATGAGTCCAAAGAGTTCGAAAAGGTCACGAAGTCCTGCAGGCAATTCGAAGGTCCCAGAGATTGAAGTTACTGTTGAAGAAGGTATGGGAGAAATATGATTAAATATTCTTCTAACGTTCTTCTATTCTTCTAATGTTTTCTGCTCTTCATTTTTTTCATAGCCCACTATTAAATTATACATGCACCTCATGTAGCAACCTCAGTTTGACTTCAGGGCTCTAGATACGCTTTAATATAGAAACAGTTTTGTTTCTCATGTCTGAATAATAGTGCATTCTGTGCAGATGATGGTTATGCAACATGTTGGAATTTGACAGTTTGCTTGGGCCTTTCATTCCAAGCAGAGATGTGAGATCTGATGTAGTCCTGAGCAGAGAAATGGCAGATATGATCAGTAGTGTCAAATGTTTAGACACAACCCTAGAAGACCAACTTAAGGAGTTTTTTTATTCTACCCTTGATTCAGAAGTTTAGTTTTTCCTAGTAATCATGTTTGATGCTTTGTTCTTTTTGTATGATGAGCTTCTGCTCTCTGCATGTGTACATGTGATGTCTTTTTACAGGTCCTAATAAACCACAAACAACAGAGGTTCAAACTAACTCTCAAACCAATGGGTCCAATACGATTTGCAAGCCACGAGGAAGAGAATTTTCATTTGGTAAATATTGTGGGAATTGGCACATATATGTTCTATTAATGTTGATATTGAAAATTCTGGTGATTATATATCAGAGATATTTTGAATTCATGTTTTATTCTACAGTTGGTGAATGACTGAAGTTCTTGTTTTCGTGTACATTCAGTTCTTCATCGTGTAGAATAATCTGTATCGGAGAAAACCTGGATGATGTATGGAGAATGCCATACATACACAGCACAGATCCATTGGATCTCACTAACTTGGGCTCAGAATCAATCCCTTTAGACTTTCGATGCTCTCTTACTTCAAACTTCAAGTGTTGAGCATTGCTGTGCAGGGATACTCCAGTGGTGTGTAGGAACTAGGAGGGATCTGAGCTAGGAGTAGTGAACCATGACCTATTGGAGGTGACTTGGCAAGATCACTGTTACAGACCTCTCCAGTTCTGGAAAATCAGTGCAGGGGAAGCCAGACGGGACTGGAAGCCGTGTAGCTGTGTTCATGAGCGCTGGGCTGGAGCTTTTTAACCATGGGGCACCAGGCCTGTCTGTGCAGTGCTCTAGCACGGAAACCTTTGCATTGAAAGCAGGGTCAGTTTGCAACCCAGATGAATTCCTCGTAGTCAAGGGAGATGAATGGCTGTATTCAGAGTAACTATAAGCAGTTCTCAAGTCTCATTAACCCTTTTTTTTTGCCCCCCAGCATTCTTACATTCTGAGTTTATTTGCTTACATTTACATAAAAGTTTGTTGTTTGCTTTTTTGTTTTTGCCTCCCATACTTTCTTTTTAGCTGTATGGTCATATAATGTGAAACAAAGGAATTCTTTACTCCTACTGCACCAGTTTAGAATGAATACAAGATACTGATTTGGTATGACTGCTTCTTTTGGCACGAGCAGTACTCATGTTCACAGTTGCATACAGTTTTCTTGGACTTTTTTTTATTATTAGGCCTGGGATTTTTTTTTTAAAGCTTTAGTCTGCAATTTTTTTAAATTTTCAACTGAGATTTTAGTTTTGTAGACCAGCTACGGACCACTTACTGCAGCCACAAGTAAACCAATTTAGGAATTGCTGCTGATTGCTCTCAGAAACAAAAAGCCTAGCTAGGTGGACATTTAATCTTACCCACTGAAGCTGAAATTATGATAGAGCTTATAGTTCTCGAGAGAGGCGTGCGCCTCAGGGCCGTGTCACTGATCATAGAAAGAACATTCTGCCCCTGTTTTGGGTGCTGGTTCAGATCAGTAAATTTTATGTTGCCTGATAACTAAATTTGAATCACTCTTGGATTAATTTCAATTTTAAATGCCTTTGCTTTGTCTAGTAGCAGTGTCTTTCAAAGCTTTAGGAAAATGAGGGTTGATGTGGGTATAGGTCTAGAGTGCAGCAGAAAGTTTCAGTGCTGTTTGCGGAATGAAAGCCGTTTTGTGCGTTTCACTGTCATAGTAAATCGATTCTCAAGCATAATAATTTATTAAACATTTATTAAAATATTCTTCAAGGACTGATTCATTGTGTGAGTGTTGATTTAATTCTTCCAATTTCATCCTGGCAGAGGCGTGGAATGCCAAAATTACTGACTTAAAGCAGAAAGTCGAAAGTCTTTTTAATGAAAAATGTGGTAAGTTTATTGATTCTCTTTTACTGAGATGTCTTTCTTGTGAACATGCAATTACATGTATGATAAACATGTTCACATGTTTATTGCAAAGGTTCTGCAATCCTTGCATACTCTAGGCAATTTCTTATTTGAGTTTGTTCTCATGTAGGTTGCTTGCAATTCTGTGTCACATTTCCACTAGTTATTTTATTTGGGTTGGGAAATGGAGAAGTTGTGGTTGGATTCCTACTACTTTAAACACCCAGAGACATAGTGACTCCACATCCTGGCACATGGTTTTAAGTTTCGTTCACTCTGCTTATGAATGGGACTTCGTATGACTTCAGCCTCTGCATGACTCCACGCATTACGGATAGTATCCGGGGAGACGTGCTCCATCGTGTACCACTGCTTCTCCTAGTGCAGGCTGCTTGGAAGCTAATGACTTTTGGAAGTAATGATTTCTCATTACTCTTCTGAGTGCAGTTTTGGAACAAGAGCACTAAGGACACCTGCCCTTGATGCTGCTCTCTAGCAGAGGCAGAATGCGTTGCCTGTAACAAAGCGGAGTACAAACGTGATGGTCTTGCATGCAGACCAAGCCAGCGGCATGAGCTGGCTGCAAATTATTGATTTTCAACTGGAAATTACGGTCAAGTTTACTGCAACAGAATGAGTTGTGTTTGAGACTGTTCGTTTATTTTCTTCCTGCCTACTCATAGCTGTCCCCCCAAAAAAAAGCAAAGCCTCCCAGTTCCACCTAATCTAGTATGTATGCACCAATTATTACACACCACTTATACCTGAGATTTTCCTTTCTATAGACACATCCGTTACCTTTCTGGTGGCTTATTTGCTCTGTTGCATTTCAGGGGAAGCGCTGGGGCTCACGGAACCAGTGAAGGTGCCGTTTGCGTTGTTTGAATCCTTCCCGGAGTTTTTCTATGTGGAAGGACTACCCGAGGGGGTGCCATTCCGCCGACCTTCGACTTTTGGAATTCCAAGACTAGAGAAGATCCTGAGAAACAAATCAAAGCTAAAATTCGTTATTAAAAAGTAAGAATCTCTTATGTCTGTGATAATCCGTTCTATGAGAATTGAAACGTAGACCAAAAAATGAAATTGTGTTGCTAAATTACTCTATAAATAGACACTGGAATATTTGTAGTAAATGAGGAAATGGTCAGAAAGCTCTTGTAGAGGTGGAGCAAGATGTAGTAATCTCTTTTTGTTCTGAAAGACACTCACAACCTATTTTTGGAGGAAGAGCAAGTCTGGATTTTTTAGCCCACTTCACTTATCACATCACTAGTTTAGTTCCTACCGTGTGAAGAGCTTATGAGTTACTCATAAAACTTGTCGACAGTGTACTAAGAGCTGAGAAGTCGAGATTTATGTACTGGGGATTGTAAGAATTGATTTTTTTTTTTTTTTTTTGCCTAGAGTAGGTTTAGATGCCCATGTGCCAGTGTAGAAACAGCGGCAAGAGAAGTTGCGGAGCCTCTCAGCCATTGCGTTCTTGGCTCTCTGTTTGGCTGAGGGGAATATAGCAAATGTGGCTTAGTTACTGTCTTTAATAAATTAATATTAGAAAATTGCATTTTCTTTAATGCTGATGAATGTAATTTTATTATTGTACATTAAATGTTCCATCTGTTTGCAGGCCTGACATGTTTGAGGCAGCTGTTAAGGAAAGTTCTGCTAGAAGCCCCCAAAGTGAGTTTTGCAACTGCTTAACGTTCTAAATAAGTCTCTTTCAAGCATTAAACACGAATCAGGAGAGCTGCATGGTGGTAACGAATTCCTGAAAGGTTCATTCTACACTGTGGTTGGTTGGTTGGTTTTTAAGATGGCAAAAGCGCTTGCCAGTTAAAGTTTAAATGTAGCTTTAGCAAAGGAGGTTTAAATTTTTTAGGTTATTCACAATAATCATGCATCTAGTATATTCTTTACTACCTTTTATCAAAATGTAACAAGTAATGTGTGATTCATAGAAGTAATTCCTGTCTAGAGAAAAATTATTTGCTCCTACTACGTAGGTCACCTAAATGACAAGTGGAACTGGGTCTGCTTTGAAAACTTTGTAAATATTTGTTATTTTGCAATATTTTCTTTATATATGACATTCAAGATTTTGGGCTCTCTACGAGTGTTTTTTAAATTAGTTCTCTTACTTTTAGGAAAAAATAATTCATCTAATACAGCCAATACAGCCAGCACCACAACAAAAACAGTCGTGAACACAGCTGCAGGTGTTGAAGATCTTAACATCATTCAAGTGACTATACCAGGTGTGTACACGTTTGGTTTCACATCATACTTTTTGTGCTTATATTCTTCACGGCGTTTTTTTAGCGTGATGAAGTTTTTTTTCTTACAGTCAAGCTGGTTTCACTGAAATACAAGTACAGTCAATAAAGAGCATAATTTAGCATTCTGTTTTTCCTGAGATGTTAAATATTTCTGTCTTTCATGATAGAAAGTCTATTTTTGTGTATTTGTGCAACTCTGTTACTGCTAAAACTAGGAACAAAGTGCCATTTTGAAGCACTCGGATCTACCTGCTTTGAGTAAACATGTCGTGATAAACAAGCTCCAGGGGGATGGGAAAAACCTGTTTAATTCTGATGCTATTCTAACAATTTCTTCTAGATGATGAAAGCGAGCGACTGTCAAAAGTAGAAAAGGCCAGACAGTTGAGAGAGCAAGTAAATGATCTTTTTGGCCGGAAATTTGGTAATTGCTTCTTCCTCCCCATTTTTACATAGGTGTGAATGCAATTAGTGTTGGTCGTATTGAAGCTACTGAATCATCACAGCGATGATCTGTACGATCATTAAAATGAACAAGTCTGACAATTGTATATGAATGTTGTGCTTTGACTTCAAAAAGAATCTTTCATGAATTATGTAGGCTGTTTGGCGTTTTAAACAAAAAAGCCCAATGCTTTGTATTCTCCCCATTCCTATTTTTCCTCTGTGAAGATGGATAAAATATTTATTTTGCTGGCTAACCGTGATTCTTCTTAGGGCTTCATAGTCCTGACATCTTAATAATTGGGACTAGAGTAGTTTTTAAAATGCAACTTAACCTTTTTGCTCTGTATAGTTTTCTTTATTTTTCCTTTGCGTAATACAGCAATAGTGACCTGACTTTCTTTACCTGAAAGTCCTTCTCTAGTGCTGTGTTGAACTGCTTTTTGTGTGCACTGCAGGAAACACTTTCTTTTCTTTCATGTAACTCTTCCCTTAGATATCCTGTCCCACACCTTTTGTAG